ATAGATAGATAGATAGATAGATAGATAGATAGATAGATAGATAGATAAGTGTTCATTGTGGAGGCTGTACAGTGTCCCACAGTGCTCTTTTGTCCACACTTCTTTGCCTGCAAATGTGCAGTGTAATGCCTCTCAGGTCTGATATGAGGCCTCTGGCTTCTGCTACTCTATCAATGCTGGAACCTCACTGAGACTCCTCTCCTATATCCTGTTGTTGTCCTGTGTCATAGAGATCTGTAGGCTTGGCCCCTTCCTGCACTCCAGCAGTTCATCAAGAGTGTAGATGTTGGGATGGGCCACTGTGAAGCCCTGGATCAGGGCTGAGAGGAGTCTGAGCTGATGAGCCCGTCAGCTCTCTTCCTCGCACATCATGGGGCAGCTCACCTGTAACTTCCACCAGCGCAGTTACAGCACCAGCTCTACTGTGCTGCAGCAGGTGAGGACCAGGGCTAGCTTTCCCGCTCACATGACCCCAAGACCAGCTGGCAGCACAGGCCAGGCCCTCACCATGGTCCCTGGGTGGCATGTTCCCTACTACCATCTGGTCTCTAGTTCTGCCTCTCTTCACTGTGCCCACATCCTTCTGTTTCTCTTTTCCATTTCTCCACCATTTACTTCCTCCTCTTAGTGTTGCCTATGGTCCAAGTGTCTGAGGTCATCTCAGGCATGGTCTGCCCCTGCCCTGCACGGTGCTGGACTGGTGGTCCTGTCAGGCTGCTCCCTGTCTAGGCCCCACGGTGCCAGTCTGGTGGTCATTGAGAGCTTGCTCCTCACCTGGGCCACCTGAGTGAGCCCACGTGAGGGTCGTCTGTCTCGGACTGGAACCTGTGGTCCCAGGGTGGATTCTTCTATTCTCCAGCTTGCTTCCCCAATGCAGGCCTGTGCCGCACTAGACTCGTGGTCATGTCAGGCTAGCTCTCTGTCCGGGCACCCTGGTGCCAGACTGGGGGTCATCTCAGCTCACTTCTTTCAGGAACGTTAGGCTATTAATCATTCAGATGTTCGTAGATCAGAACACTGCGTATAGACATGGCCTCTCGCTTCTCTGCCACTTGCTGACGCACATGTGACACAGCAGCCACACCTGCTACGCCTCTAAGTGAGGGGTGGATTGATTTTTATTGCTATCATTTATATGCCATTGCAGAAGCATCTAATTCAATGTAGTGAAAGGCACCGGCAGGCACTGACTGCCTCTGAAGCTCACCAACATTTTATGCACAGATTCTGTTCAGAGGTTCTTGAAACATGAATTCCCTGGTATCTTAGGAAAGGTGCACATCTTCAAACTTGTCCAAATTGATCATGATTAGCAAAAACAACAGTCCATCTTGATTCCTAAAATTTCACTTTGGAGCCTAGATTGACATACCTGGAATCCTGAGTGCTCTGCAGTGTCATTCAGACACCCAGAAGCACTGACGCTACACTTAGACATCTGTCAGGAGCCTGTGGCAGAGGCTGGCAGCGTCAGCATGATTTAGGACAGTCCTGAACCACCAGGTTGCTATCTCAGTATGATGAAGCAGGAGCTAGCACATGTTACAGGCATGAGAGGCAGGACAATGCCCTCTGATAAGATGCTCAGCGACTGTGCCCATCAGGTAGCACAGCCACTCACTTGCCAGCATGAAAGCGTTGCAGCTGCCCCAGTAATTCCCTTTTCAATACTAGATCACAACAAGTGTTCTCTTCCTCTCCGCTGCTTCTCCCAGTCTTAACTAAACCCTGGACTTTCCTTCTCCTTCATGTATCACATCGTTCACTTGTATTAGCTGCCTTCAGATATAAAGGACTTGTAGCTTCCTGTTCTAACCCCCATGCAACAAGGTACATCCTTCTTATCAGTGTCATTAATCAATGAAAAAGTTGATGAGAGAGTCAATCAACATGATACACCATTCAGTTAAGCGGAAACATTGCTCAGGTAAAATTCAGAATAAGTTGTCAGGCTTCATAAAATTGATCTTTATCCCAATAAAAACTGGCTAAAGAGTCATTCTTTATTTTTCAAAAGCAAAGAAAACACAGCTTAAAAGCACTCATAACATTAATGATATCACATTGGTAGTAAATCAAACAAACCATAGAGACTTCAGAGGTCACACTTACAGGTCAACTGCAAAGCTCAATTTAAAGGCTGTGATTTGTTTGTTCATTTGTTTTGTAAGGGAAATCGGCCTATGGACTATAAGCCTGGCCTGTCCAAAGATTTGAATAAGCAGATTCTTAAAGGGCCTTTTTGAGACAGGGAGAGATGTGAAACCAGTCAGTAGCATAATTAACCTGATAAAGAAGACAGAACTTAACGAGCATTGAAAGTATTATCCACTCTGTGGTTTTCAGAAGCCTGGTCATCTGTGAGACTGCAGAGCCTTCAGCTCTCAAAGGAAGAGCTGACTGAGATCCAGGGATGTTCTTGAAAAAACATCAAAGCTCTTTCAAGGGCTCACCAACTCACACTACATTAAACACTGAATACAAGAAGTATGTCCTGTCTTTTCTGCTGGTACCTACTAGCCAACAGTAGACTTTTTTTTTTATCCCCTATCCCCCATCATCCTGATATCTAACAAGCTACTTGTAGCTCTAATTATCAGCAAATTCAAGTCTGAGAAAAAAGCTACACTGGACCTATACAAGGTTGCCACACCATCTGCATTAGCTACTTTCATTGTGACAAAACACTGACAGAAGCTACTTTAGGCAGGAGGGGGTTTATTTTGGTATAACTGTTTCAAGGAAGAAAATCCACCATAATTAAGACGGCAGGTGTTCTATCTTGATCCACTGCAATGGAAACTTGTAGTTTGCTCACACTGTGGCAGACCAGAAAGCAGAGGGCTGAGGCCAGAGCCACAGTGAACTATAACCCCATAAGGAGCTGACATCCATCAGTTGAGCATGACATTCCAAAGTGTAACAACTTCCCAAAGTAGTATTGCATGTAGACAACAAGTGTTTCAACACATGATATAAACCAAACTCAAGAACACATCAAAAGATCATTCACCATGATCAAGATGGCTTTATCCCAGAAATGCAGGGGTGACTCAATATGAGAAAGTTAATAAATGCTATAAATTAAATTCAAGAACAAAAATCACATGGTCATCTCAATAGATGAAGAAAAGGCTTTTGACAAAACTTAACACCGTTTCATATTAAAAGTCTGAAGAAACCTGAAATAGAAGGAATATACCCCAACATAATAAAAGCGACATATAGCAAGCCTATAACTAACATTTCCACTAAAATCAGGAACAAGATACTTTCTCTACTAGTAGCGATATAATACTGAAGTCTAACTAGAGCAGTAAGATAGGAGAAGGAAATAAAGGGGATACAAATAGGAAAGTAAGATATCAAAGTATCTCTATTTGCTGGTGTGATTCAATACGAGACCAGAAAGAATCCACAAAAAAAAATACTTAAAAGTGATAGCACTTCAACAAAGTGTCAGGATAAAATATTAACATACAAAAATCAGTAACCTTCCTATATATACTAATGACAAACAGGAGGCATACCCCATTTTCAAAAGTCTCAGTAAATAAACAAATAAATATAACCATCTTAAAATAAGCCTAAGTAAAGTATATGAAAAAATTCATAATAAAAACTTTAAAACATTGAAGAAAAAAATTGGAGAAAATACTAGAATATGGAAAGAATTCCCAGGCTCAGGGAGTTATAAGAGTAAATATTGCAATCATGACCATCCTATCAAAAGCAATCTAAAGAGTTGATGCAATACAATCAACATTCTCCACAGAAAAAGAACAGCAATCTTACAATTCATATGAAAGCACAGGTAAGTCTAGCTAGGCAAAGGAATCCTGAGGGGCGGGGAAGCTTTCTTATGCTGCTAGACACATTACCATGCCTGATTTTAGGTTACACTCTAGAGCGACAGTATTAAAACCAGCACAGTAAAGGCCACACAACTACAGCCATCACAGCATTTTCAACAAATGGTTCTAGGAAAACTCTGTCACATAAAGACTGAAAAGCAGCTCCTTATCTCTCTCTACACAAAAAGCAACTCCAACAGGTCAAGATCTCAATATGTCACCAATATACTGGAAAATGCTAGAGGAAAGCAGAAAATAGACTTTAAGACACAGACAGATTAGTGCTGGTCTCAACCTTGGTCTGAGAAGCTCCTTTTTGCAATGGATAGCAGTTAATTCAGACTCCCAACTGGTCAGATGGCTGAGAGTAAGTAAGTGACTGTTGCACAGGTCAGCCCTAGAAAGGGCATCTCTATCAAGCTCCTCACACTCAGGGAACATCATGGATGAGGGGCAGCAAGAATGGAGGAGGCAGAGGATGTCATCACCTGTGCAAAATCAAGGTCAGTAAATATTCCAAAACCAGTGAAGGGAGAGGTTTGTGAGGCCCCACCATAGCTGAGGAGCTTCTGGCAGATGATGGCTACCGGATGAAGAGAAGCCATTTTCCTTCAGTTGTGTGGCCGATGGCAGTGTTTGCCTCTGTTCCAGTGGATGGCAAAATACCCACGGACACAGGAAGAATGCTAATTGCACTCAGTGGGCTATTTTAGAAGAGGGGAGGATGAATAAAGGTAAAAGGAACATTTTGGAGTAGAAGAGGTGAGCTGAAGGTAGATATGATCAAGATATATTGTATAAGTTATAAAATTGTCAAAAAATTAAATATTCTTTAAATTAAAAGAAAAGAAACAGGATGCATTTGGAAATAAACCATCACATTCACGGAAGGTGTCTATATCACTTGTTCTCTTCTGCAGCCAGAGTTCCCCCTCCCCTTGTTGGATGACTGATCACAGGTCAGCTGGACTACCCTGTAGTCAAACGCTAACCCAAGTGCTGCTCTGAGAGCAGGAAAGGTGGTGCCCATGATGTGAAGATGACTTATCCAATAAGCTGAAGGGCTTAAGAGCAAAAGCAAGTGTCTTGGAGAAGAAAGAGTCCTGCCTCATGAAATTCTGTTCCAGCAAGGAAGCCTCCCCAACAAATTCTAGGCTCAAGATGGCAACTTCTCCGTTTCCAGCTGGCCTACAGATTTCATACTTGATGGCATCCCAAATCACGCAGACCTCATAAATCTACTCCACATGGACAAATTCAAGTCATTTCTCTCAGTATGTCTGTCTCTCTCCTTCCCCTGCCCCCAACTCTCCTTTTCATTTAAGTGCATGCATGCCTGTGTGAGTGCGTCCATGTCTACATGTTTTCTTGATTACAGTGAAGCAGGTCAATCTTCACGGAGGAGACAGTGGGGATGGTGGTAGTTGGCCTCTCCATAAAACCTAACTGCTCAAGAAGCAGAGGAGTTTACCTTTCAATGGTGAAAGGTTCAGAGGTATGTTGTGATCTGGCCAACTATAAATCCAAGTATCACTATTCTATCATTTGTTAAAAAGCACAGTTATTAGAACATCTAGAGTTGCATTAGAAAGAAATTCTTAAAATTGGTCTAAAAGGGTCACCTATAAAGACCATTTTACCCAGTTCCTAATCTCACAATTAAATGCTTACTAGAGGATTTTCTGCTACCATGTGTTTAAATAACAGGTGTTAAAGAGGAAATTAAAGAGAAGGAAAATGACCTGCTGTGAAGTCATCTGCATGCTGAATGCCATCCTTTGTACCTTGTTTATGTCACCCAATCCAATCTTCATGTCACAATTGTCAGGGAGGCATTATCAGCTTCATTTTACAAGAAACCCAGCCCCGGAAAATTTCAATGAAGTTTCCCCAATCACAAAATTAGTGGTATTGACACTCAAGCCTAGGCAGCCTAACTACTGTATCAAGTCAACTCTTGCTATTAGTAACATCTCTAGAGGGCAAAAATACAATAATTCAAGCCACTGCACACCAACTCCTTTCAAAGATTCCATTCCAGGTTGGCATACATCAGCATTACCTATATTCCAGGAGCCATGAAGTCATAGAGCTCAGCCTTACCTTGTAGGGAAAGTATACTGGGCATATCAGAAGCTACCACAAGTCACATGCTAATTCCTCCTGCCAGACTTCCTAACTGTCTCCTATGAGGGGACCAGTGTTTGTTCCACAGAGGAAAGAAACGGTGATGTGAGGTAACCGGGGGTTAC